CCCGCATTCCTGCTCAACAGAGATCTGCTAATTTAAAGAAATTCTGGTGTGTCAGGGATTGTTCATCATCTGAGAACAGAATGTTGGAAGGCATTAAAGTTGTCCTACTTTTCAGAATGAAAGGTTTCTTAATTGAAGGTCAGTGCCAGGACAGTGAAAAAGAAAGCATTGGGGAGGGTGGGTTTGGGCTGCACTAATAGACATCTTGGTGAATTGGAGGCAGGACTGTGTGTTGAGGCAGTTTTATGTGTTCTTACTGGAGATGAATCATATACATTGTAGAAAGTGCCTTGGGGTGCAAAGGAGATATTTTGTGGGAAATGAAAATCTTCAAATTCTTTATGTGACAGCCATTCTTTGGGCTCAATTGGAAAATATTGTAAAATAGATCCACCATTTTCTTGCAGATATAAATATTTGTTTTCACTTATTACTCTTAGCAGTCACTTTTGCATCCAGATTGGTATTGGAGGCTACAAGGCTATTTTCTGTTGGCCCGGGCACTGCCTTATACCCACTGCTATTACAATACCATTATGACTTTCTGTCCATTGAACCGTCAGAAAACAAAAGTGTCACTTTTATTTATTTATTTATTTATTTATGTTTATATTTATTTATTTATTTATTCACAATCAAGAACATTACAACTTAAAATATACAATGGTAGGGCCATGTAAAGGTTAAGGTAAAGGTTTTCCCCTGACATTAAGTCCAGTCGTGTCCGACTCTGGAGGTTGGTGCTCATCTTCATTTCTAAGCCGAAGAGCCGGCGTTGTCCATAGACACCTCCAAGGTCATGTGGCTAGCATGACTTCATGGAGCACCATTACCTTCCCATTGGAGCGGTACCTATTGATCTACTCACATTTATATATTTTCAAACTGCTAGGCTGGCAGAAGCTGGGCTGACAGTGGGAGCTCATGATGCTCCCCGGATTTGAACCTGCGACCTTTTGTGTATTGTAATGCATTATTATATCTTATCAGTGGTAATTATATTGATAACTACCGATGATGTATATTAACAGATTATGATGTACTGGTTTGTTGTTGTATGTTTTGAGTTGTAATGTTTTTGATTGTTAACAAATAAATAAATATAGACATTTACTGTATCAGTGGTTCTCAACTTGTGGGTCCCCAGATGTTTGTGGCCTTCAACTCCCAGAAATCCTAACAGCTGGTAAACTGGTTGGGATTTCTGGGAGTTGTAGGCCAAAAACATCTGGGGACCCCAGGTTGAGAACCACTGCTGTATATGGTCAGTAGTAAATATATATATTTACTGCGCGCGCGCGTGTGTGTGTGTGTGTAGCCACTCGGAGGAGCAACAGGTTAAACCAGTGGTTCTCAACCTGTGGGTCCCCAGATGTGTTGGCCTTCAATTCCCAGAAATCCTAACAGCTGGTAAACTGACTGGGATTTCTGGGAGTTGTAGGCCAAAACACCTGGGGACCCACAGTTTGAGAACCACTGGGTTAAACCCTTGTGCCAGCAGGATTGCTGACCGACAAGCCAGTGGTTTGAATCCGGGCAGAGCAGGTTGAGCTCCCTCTGTCGCTCCAGCTCCCCATGTGGGGGCATGAGAAAAGCCTCCCACAAGGATGATAAAACATCAAAATATCTGGGCAATGTCCTTGCAGACGGCCAATTCTCTCACACCAGAAGCGACTTGCAGTTTCTCAAGTCACTCCTGACACGAAAAAAGTATTAAACTGAATTCAAATGCTTATTGGTAGAGAACTAGTTCTTTAATTCCAAACATTTGCCAGTATTTGTAGTTGTTTTGATTGTGGTAGCATAGGGTGCATCTAGTTAAAGGTTTCCCCCTGAAATTAAGTCTAGTTGTGTCTGACTCTGGGGGGTTGGTGCTCATCTCCATTTCTAAATCGAAGAGCCATCGTTGTCCGAAGACACCTCCAAGATCATGTGGCCTGTATGACTGCATGGAGTGCTGTTACTTTCCCACTGGAGCGGTACCTATCGATCTACTCACATTTGCATGTTTTCAAACTGTTAGGTTGGCAGAAGCTGGGGCTAACAGTGGGACCTCACGCTGCTCCCCGGATTCGCACCTGCGACCTTTTAATCAACAAGTTTAGCAGCTCAGTGCTTCAACCCACTGCGCCACCGGGTGCATCTAGACTGTAGAATTAATGCTGTTTAACAGCCATGGCTCAATGCTATGGAATCCTGGGGGTTGTAGTTTTGTGTTTCACCAGCACTCTTTGGATGAAAAGGCTAAAGAACTCATAAAAATACAAATCCCAGGATTCCATAGCATTGAGCCCTGTCATTTATTCCACAATATAAATGCACTTATAATCCCTGGTCATAGCGAGAAAGGTGAGTTCTGTGTAACTGGAAAGCTTATCTTGTTTTAAGTTGCAGTATCTGGAATGTTTACTTTTTTGAATAACATCACATACACAAATCCTGTTTGCAGTTTAGTTCTGTCAAAAAAGGGCTTCCTTTGCTCCTTTTTCTGCAAAGCATACTAGACTTTGACATTGGCCCTTAGGACAACTTTAGCCACGAGAACAAGCAGTGTCTGGATGAGTAAAGGCTTAGCAAGATTGGTGTGCATCAGAGCTTACGCCCCTTTCTTTCCTAAATCCACAAGGAAACATACCAACTGCACCAGTCTGAAACTACAAGGACTGGAGTACTAGAAGTTGATTTCAACAAGGTTAATGTTAGTCTGAGTGTTTCATACAGTTAGGTTTTCATTTCCCTGATGAACAGTACAATGCAATCTCCATATCCACACAAAATCTTGTCTGGAATTTGCGTGGATATGCAAAGTTGTTAATAATCACGAACTGCATTAAAATGAAGGACTTCTGATCTAATAATATCGCACAGTTGTGCAAAAGAACCTAGAAAACATTACCGCATGACTTGACCATTTCAGGATAGCGTGGGTTGCACGATTAAGAAGCATGGCATAGGTTTTCAGCTAAGCAATTGGTTCCTTTCTATTTAAATTCTTGATTTCCCCTTTCTTGATCTCTCTCTTATAATATTACTGGAGGCCCTGGTCAAGTGTGTGGCGTAATGTAAAATAAACCATGTGTAGTTCACATTTGATCAGCACACACTGCCTTGCCAGAGAAAGAAAATATGCTATGCAGATGAACAATGAATAACTAGTAGTCCACTCTTTGTAATTTAGAACAACATATGTACAATGTGATCAGTTGTATCAACTTACAGAATGTCCTTTCATGAGAGATTCAAAATGGTCTTTCCTTGTCCATGTAGATAAACCCTTCAGCAGCTCATTAAGCGAGAGCACACTCCGAACTCTGTCTCCGTCTCCCTACTTACTCTTCTCTTCTGCTCCGAGCACTTGCATAGCTTGAGTCTGAACAAAAAATGTAACAGTATCCAAAAGTCCCAGGCTCAGCCTGCTCCCCTGGTATAGCCTGAGCAATCAGCTTCAGGCATCTTATTTTACAGTTGACACACAAACAGTCATTGATTCCTTACATGTTACAACAAAATAGTCCTGGTCAAAATGGTCCCAGGTCAAAAAAAGGTTGGGAACACTGAGTTAAAGGCAGGAACTGAAAATTTCCTTTCCCAAGAAACTCAAGCAAAAGCAAAGTGCAGCAGTCTCTCCTAGCTTATGTGTTCTTTCTCCTTAATGACCTTTGTTGCCGAGAAGCAGCAAATTGCCTTTGAATTAGCAAGAAAAGAGGGAAGATCTACCATGGACCTTTAGAATACTGCGAACCTTTAGAATTGGCTTCCTCTGTTGGCAGCATTTTAAGCCTGTTTAGGCACTTTGGTGGTGAGCAGGAGTACTGGGGATTAATTCAATTGCAGTCCACCCCCTCCTGCAGATTTGGTATGCCTTCTGAACAGAATGCTAATATAAGTCATGGAGGGTCTCTTTAAAATTATGTGGCCAGATCTTGAGGGAAGATAATAGTGCAATCCATCTCTTCCATTAATAATCTGAGCCTTAAGGATAAATCTGTTAATTTCAAGTATTAACAGTGGCAGGCATAATGTGTGTCATAAATTTCTGTGTCTGCATGTAAGGAGGTAAAGCAGCATTTCTAAACCTGGGGGTCAGGTCCCCGGGGGGTGGCGGGGGTTTGTGAGGGGGGTATCAGAGACCATGAGAGAACACAGCATTTTCTGTTGGTCATGGGGGTTCTTTGTGGGAAGTTTGGCCCAATTCTCTCGTTGGTGGAGTTCAGAATGCTCCTTCATTGTAGGTGAACTATAAATTCCAGCAACTACAACTCCCAAATGTCAAAGTCTATTTTCCCCAAACGTCACCAGTGTTCATATTTGGGCATATTGAGCATTCGTGCCAAGTTTGGTCCAGGTCTTTCATTGTTTGAGTCCACAGTGCTCTCTAGACGTAGGTGAACTACAACTTCAAAACTCAAGGTCAATGCCCACCACACCCTTCCAGTATTTTCTCTTGGTCATAGGAGTTTTGTGTGCCAAGGCTGGTTTGATTCCATCGTTGGTGGAGTTCAGAATGCTCTTTGATTGTAGGTGAACTGTAAATCCCAGCAACTACAACTCCCAAATGACAAAATCAATCCCCCCCCCCCCCATCCCACCAGTCTCCAAATTTGGGCGTATTGGGTATATGTACCAAATTTAGTCCAGAGAATAAAAATACATTCTGCATGTCAGATATTTACATTGCGATTCATAACAGTAGCAAATTACAGTTAAGAAGTAGCAACAAAAATAATGTTATGGTTGGGAGTCACCACAACATGAGAGGTCGCAGCATTAGGGAGGTTGAGAAACCCTGAGGTAAAGAGAGAGAGAAGGGTCAACAATAGCTTGAAAATGACGTGTTTTCCATTCTTCCCCTTGTCTGGGTTTTCTCAACTGGTATCTCCAGATTAAATGGAGCGCCTCCCTTAGAATCTACCTGCACAAAGTCTTTCAATGTACTGCTTGGGATTGTGCTTCCCCTTATCATTTGGGGTAAATATTTGGATTTTTTTCTTTCTCTTCCCTTCCCAGAAATGTCAACACGGGCCCAACCTATTTCTCTCCGGTGGTTGAACAGAGATGTGGCCTGCTGACACGGTGCCTGATACCCGCAGCCTATTTCTTTCTCAGTCTTTGAGTCTGACGGAAGAACTGGAGAGAGGGCTATGGCCCACCATAATGTCGGCTTCCAGCCCGAGAACACAGTCCCACAGCCGGATGCTAAGGAAGAAACGGCCAACAGTGAGCACAGCCCACTAGAATGTGTCATTTGCTTCACCCCTTATGACCGGCTCTTCAAGCTGCCGAAGGAGCTCAGCTGTGGCCATATCTTCTGCCTGGAGTGCCTAGCCCGCATCAACGTCTCTTCTGAGGATGTCAACTCCGTCTCCTGCCCGATTTGCCGGGCACCGACTGCCTTGCCTTCTCGCAAAGGCCTGCCGGGTCTCCCCACTCGCCCTGAACTATTGGATCAGCTCCCTTCTTCCCCTGCCCCTCCAGGCTCAGTACGCTTTGACCGTCGGCGGGGCTTGCTTTACCTGCCAGGTGGGAACAGGGGCCACTCGCACGCTGTGCCCAAGCCGGGGGCTGCCGTCAACACCGTCAGCCTGAGTGTCGATGTTGGGCGGCCCGCCCCCCAAGGACCTAGCCGAGTCCTGGGCCTCTCTGGCTGGCCATTCTACGTGGCCCTGGCAGTCGCCTTGCTGGTTACGATTGGCCTCATTATCTGTGGGATTTATATCTTTTTGATGCCCTCCATGTATATGGTTTCAGGGACAGGGCCACACCAAGCAAATAATAGCTCTACACTAGAGGCAAACCAGTCTCATACAACGAACCTGCCTTCGCCTTAGAGTGAAAATGTGGAAGAAAGGGATTGTGATTGCTCTTCCTTCCCTATGTTGTGACTCTCCCAAGTGGGAACTTTGGGTACAATAGACATTGTTATGTCCCAAGAGGGTAGAGAAGTGGGCAAGGAATTGAAATCCCCCCTGGACTGAATTGACGGTTACCTGCAGAGGCAGTTGAGCTAGCCTTTTATTAGTGACTTGCTGCTTGAACAACCACAGGAAGTCCCTGCCACAGACATCCGGGTGCATTATCGTCTCTAGATAACATCAGAACTCGTTATGCCTCAATAATGAATGTGTTGCATCAGAAGCAGAAAACTGGAAAAGTCACAGCACATGGGTGAAAGAAAGCTTCCAGTCTGATTGAGCGATCAGCTTCATTGCTCCAATGGCAAGCAATCCAAGATCATATTGTTGAAGGCTTTCATGGCTGGAATCACTGGGTTGTTGTAGGTTTTTGGGCTGTATGGCCATGTTCTAGAAGCATTCTCTCATGATGTTTCACCTGCATCTATGGCAGGCACCCTAAGAGGTTGTGAGGTCTCACAACCTCTGAGGATGCCTGCCATCGATGCAGGTGAAACGTCAGGAGAGAATGCTTCTAGAACATGGCCAATACAGTCCAAAAAACCTACAACAGTCCAACCCAAGATCCTTCTGAAGTTGCTAGACTGCAATTCCTATCAGCCTTAATCAGTGATGAGAGGTTGGTAGTCCAACTATCCTGGTTTGGCACTGACGGTCCCAATTGCCCCTCTGTTGTCCCCTCAGAGCGGTAGTTAAAACAACAGTTGAAAGGTCATAACTTGCCTTCTCCCAGGGGCTTTCCTACTATGCAAGTATAGCACTATGATTCCACTTTAACTGTCATGGTTGCATGCTATGGAATCTGGGGTTTGTAATTTGGTGGTGCATAGAGGAATTCTTGGGCTGATAAAATTTAAATATCCCTCCCCAAACTGCAAATCTCAGGATGCAGAGGGGCATCATGATACGATAAATGTGTTGTAGTGGGAAAGTGTCCCTGCTCTGATCATTGTTGCATGATGAGATGTCTAAGCTGGATGGCACTGGAATGTCTGCTATTTCTGATGTGAAAGAGAAGGTTGTAAACTTGAATTTTCCCTTAGTTGGAAAAATAAAACTTTTTTGCAATCAAACAGCCAGCACAAACAGGGAATGGACTCAGGCCGAACCTTTTCCCTCTGATGTGCTTGGGAACGTTGTTTTTGTCTCAACAGTAGGCACCTGGGTTCACTGAAAATGATGCATTCTGGTTTTGGGTTGGACCTGGCACAGTATTCTCCTATCACCTCATTCTGCTTCATGTACCCACCGGACTCTCCCAGTATTTTCTGTTGGTCATGGGAGTTCTGTGTTTGGTTCACTTCCATCATTGGTGGAGTTCAGAATGCTCTTTGATTGTAGGTTAACTATAAATCCCAGCGACTACAGCACCCAAATGACAAAACCAATCCCCTCCCCCAACCCCATCAGTATTCAAATTTGGGCGTATCAGGTATTTGTGCCAAATTTGGTCCAGTGAATGAAAATACATCCTGCATATCAGATATTTACATTATGATTCATAACAGTAGCAAAATTACAGGTATTAAGTAGCAACTAAAATAATGTTATGGTTGGGAGTCAGCACAACATGAGGAACTGTATTAAGGGGTTGCGGCATTAGGAAGGTTGAGAACCACTGGGCACAAGAGCCTTGCTGCCAGAAGAGGGTGATGGCAAATTAATGCACCAACAAGGAGCTATTTTGAGTTCTGGACTTCTGCTTCCCACATGGAGCCAGAATGGACTAGCTGATCAGACTGAAATATTCATATATATATTCTGGCTTGCTCTGGTGTTTTCAACAATGGCCTGAAATGCTGAGATCAGAGGAAATGAAAAGCACATAGGTAATCAATATTATCAGCTGCCAATTCTTGTGGATCCTATTGCTGTATGAAGTAAAGCAGCAGGATCCAGTTTAAAAGCTGTCAAGGAAAGCATTTTCCATTTTTGTTTCTTGTTTGGATTTTACTTCCCCTCCCAACACTTTGTGGCTATACAGCAGCCAAAATAGCTTCCTCCCTAGTGAAGTTATTGGTTCAAATATTAGAATCACTTCATGGTCATATATTTTGCATCATTGACACTATCTTGTTTGGAAACCAGTCCTGTTTGCAAACATCGGTTCTTTAAAATATTTAGACCAAAGAGCTGTGATAAATGAGGAATGAACTAAAGACTGTGAAGAACCTAGAACGTTATGAGAAACACCATAAGAAGCTTCGATTCTGCTTTCTGAATCTGGCATTAAGGATTTTATCAACATAACAATTGATGGGAAAGCCCAGTTAGAATCATAGAGTTGGAAGAGACCTCGTGGGCCATCCAGTCCAACCCCCTGCCAAGAAGCAGGAAAATTGCATTCAAATCACCCACAACAAATGGATATCCAGCCTCTGTTTAAAAGCCTCCATAGAAGCAGCCTCCACCACATTTCGGGATAGAGAGTTCCACTGCTGAACAGCTCTCACAGTCAGGAAGTTCTTCCTCATGTTCAGGTGGAATCTCCTTTCTTGTAGCTTGAAGCCATTGTTCCGCATCCTAGTCTCCAGGGCAGCAGAAAACAAGCTTGCTCCCTCCTCCCTATGACTTCCCCTATGACTTCTCTTCTGCAAGCTAAACATGCCCAGCTCTTTAAGCCGCTCCTCATAGGGCTTGTTCTCCAGGCCCTTGACCATTTTAGTCACCCTCCTCTGGACACATTCCAGCTTGTCAATATCTCTCTTCAATTGTGGTGCCCAGAATTGGACACAGTGTGATTCCAAATGTGGTCTGACCAAGGCGGAATAGAGGAGTAGCATGCCTTCCCTGAATCTAGACACTATAAACCTATTTATGCAGGCCAAAATCCCACTGACTTTTTTAGCTGCAGAATCACATTGTTGGCTCATGTTCACCTTCCTGTCCATGATGACTCGATCTTTTTCACACATATTGCTCTCGAGCCATGTGTCCCCCATTCTGTATCTTTGCATTTCATTTTTTCTGCCTAAGTGGAGTATCTTGCATTTGTCACTGTTGAGCTTCATTTTGTTAGCAGTGACTCACTGATATATAACTGGTGAACCACTACTCTTTTTTCCTAATGTTAAAACACCTCTCAGTAATGGGATTACAAATAACTGCCACCAATGGTTGAAAACATTCCCCCCATGATACTATGTTTTTGTCTTTCCCTTATGTATGCCCCAAAAATAAATATTTTAATATTAAAAACATTTTTGTAAACATTTAAAAAAAATCCAGGATTTTGAATGGATTATTTTAAAAATACAACCAAAATATGGAGGATTTTGTTGACTGGGAAAACTTTGGATCCATTTGGACTGAAAATAGGTACAGACTTTGAGCTTCTTTTTGGAGCTACATTCCCTGAGTTTCTTCAAGCCTAGCCAGATAGGTAGATACCATCAGCCATCCCCGAACCATGTTATTTACAGAAAAAGTTATACATCTACACCTAAACCATGACAGCGAACTCCAAAACTGCTCATTTTAGAGCGGGGAATCTTTCTATTGCAATTGTTAAATATAATATGGTCCTCTCATCCATTTACTCTCTAACTCACTTAAAAAACTAAAACAAACCACCACCACCTGAAAGTGTATGTCTCTCTCTCTAGACCAGTGTTTCTCAACCTTCCTAATGCCGTGACCCCTTAATACAGTTTCTCGTGTTGTGTTGACCCCAAACAGAAAATTATTTTCGTTGCTACTTCATAACTGCTATTTTGCCACTGTTATGAATTGTAATGCAAATGTCTGATATGCAGGATGTATTTTCATTAACTGGACCAAATTTGGCACAATACCCAATACGCCCAAATTTGAATACTGGTTGGGTTGTGGGGGATTGATTTTGTCATTTGGAAGTTGTAATTGCTGTGATGTATAGTTCACCTACAATCAAAGAGCATTCTGAGCTCCACCAACGATGGAATTGAACCAAACTAGGCACACAAAACTCCCATGACCAACAGAAAATACTGGAAGGGTTTGGTGGGCATTGACCTTGAGTTTTGGAGTTGTAGTTCACCTACGTTCAGAGAGCACTGTGGACTCAAACAATGATGGATCTGGATCAAATGTGGCATGAATCCTAAATACACCCAAATGTGAACACTGATGGATTTTGGGGAAAATATACAGACATGTGGGAGTTGTAGTTGCTGGGATTTATAGTTCCCCTTCAATCAAAGAGCATTCTGAACCCCACCAGCAATGGAATGGGACCAAACTTCCCACACGGAACCCCCATGACTAACAGTAAATACTGTGTTTTCTTTGGCAACCCCTCTGACACCCCCTTACGACCCGTCCAGTGGTCCCAACCTCCAGGTTGAGAAACTCTGTTCTAGACCAATCAGAGCTATTCTATCATGTGCTTTCAGTCCACATGTAGTTAAAATGTAGGACTAGTTATCTGTAACCTTGTGTTCACTGAGGTTCTTACGAGGTATCCTCTGTGCATACGGGGGTTGTACTGCAAGTAAGAAATCTTAATCAATCTACTGTAAGTTACTCAGTGATATGACCCTACTCTGGCTCTATACAGTAAAGAGAAGTAAGGGAGCAAATGCTTTATTACTAGATTCTAAAATGGATGTTTATAACTCCAGATAAGTGTGGGCATTAAATAAGTGTAATGTTTAGTTTATGGAGATACCTTAAAGACAGGTAATTGAAAAAACAGAGGAATGAGAAGGTTAATCAAAATAAAAACTGAGGCCTGGTAGTAAAGTACTACTACTTCCTTTGCAAAGCAATATTGTCTAATTTGAAACAAGCAAAAGGAAGATGTTGGTAGCGAAAGCTTTCATAGGTGTTGTTTACACAGGCATAGTCTACTTCAACTTGCCTTTTCCTGGTTTGTAGTGATTGTGTTGACAACGCACACATCTTAGAGCCAGCCATGTTTCCCCCTATGCAAGCTCACTCTGGTGTGAAAATGGCAATCCTGCAATTATCGCATTTTATTTCTGGCCACAAAGCAGTGTCCCCCCCCCCCCCCAATTCTCCCTGCCCATGCATGTGACTCTACATAGATCTATATTATGTCTGTATGCCTAGGTTTTATGTTCCCAGAGGACAAAAAGAAAGGAACTGGATTAAAATCCTCAAGAATATTGCATGTTAGGCCAACACCCGATATGAAATTAGTACAATTTCTTTTTCGCCCAGGTAGACAAACACATAGTGTCAACCTACATCAGATACAATGCTTTATTCCCTTATGTCAATCTTGCATTGTCACCTTTCACATCCAAGCAATCTCTTCGCATTCCTTCTGAGCA